AAAGTCCAGGTTGATGTCTTTAAATATCTTGTTCATTCAGTCTTAATCCCAGATACTCCCAGTTTAACATGATTATAATCTGAGAAAAGTAGTACATTTTTCATATTTGAGGGATAAAAATCTCTCAAAGTTGAATTATTTTTCTTTCAATTGATTGATGGATTAGTCAATGTATCGTTCTTTTTTGGTATTGTATAGTATATGATACCCAAACTGTAGAGCAGCTGTTCTGGCCCCCAAACTCTACCTCTGCTAAACTACGACTGCTTAGAAGTCACTAAGCATTTAGGTCGTCCCCGCTCTACTCCGGCTCATTTCTCCACGAGGTGTCCTGAGGTGCTGGAGCAGCTGTAAGTCTGTCAGTGGATCTGTCTCCTGTGTCAGGCCAGACGCAGCATCTTGCTCCGAGTATCGCAGGGATTCAGTCCAGGTCGTTAATCTGAGCTCGTTAGCCACATGGCAGGCGGGTCGCAGCAGAAGTCTGTCAGCCACCCACTCACATACAGGAAGTGCTGTATACCTGCAGTAACTTAAACATATGTGCATGGCTGCTGTCTGCATGACTGTCTCTGTACCAGCTTGTGTTGACTGAGGATCACTGCTGGCACACACGGTAGCTTATCTCACCTCGTCCCCTGTACGAATGATGTTTTTTATGGGAAGCGGGCTGTGAGGTTGGGGGTGAAACTGATATGTTCTGCTACCTTGCTTTCCCTCACATCTACCATGGGACTGGAACGGTAAATGATGGCATTAAGGGGGGACGGGAGGGGGCGGGGCAGATGTACGGCTTTTTATCGTAGAGCGAGGGATGATTCCTGGGCCTGGGGAGGAGGGGGGGGTAGAGCTGGACAGGTGCTGAGAGAGAGATATGTGCTTTCAGGAGATTGGGGGGAATGGAGAGAAAGGGAAAGAGAGAGAAAAAGGACAGGTGAAATATTTCCTCCTGTGACAGAGGAAATGGGGGGAAAAGTGAAAAGGGCCAGCTCCGTATTGAGAAATGGACGAAACTATTCCCGGAGGGGGTGCTGAAAGTCCCAGCCCCACAGCCCTCTCTAATGTACCTACTTTTGATGGATGATATTAACGTTTACCCCCTCTGCTTTTAGCCCTCAGAAGAGCTAAGGGAGGGGTGTGTGTGTGTGTGTGTGTGTGTGTGTGTGTGTGTGTGTGTGTGTGTGTGTGTGTGTGTGTGTGTGTGTGTGTGTGTGTGTGTGTGTGTGTGTGTGTGTGTGTGTGGTGTGTGTGTGTGTGTGTGTGTGTGTGTGTGTGTGTGTGTGTGTGTGTGTGTGTGTGTGTGTGTGTGTGTGTGTGTGTGTGTGTGTGTGTGTGCTTGTGTGCGCGCACAGCCAGCCCACCACATGCCAGGCAATCCTGGCATGCCCCCCCCCGACACTCCCCATGAGTATGAAAACATATCCCCTGAATCAATCTATAGCTACCCTCAGCTCCATCTGCAGTTTCTATCCTCAATGGCCACCACTACTATTAGTTCTGTGTCCCGCCGCTTCCTGCTTAGAGCCTAGTCCCTGAGATTAAAGAGCAACACACACACACTTACTGGAGTCCTTTGCTCACAGGAGGGAGGGAGGGAGCACAGTGTGAAGATTGTTTATCCGGAGGAATCTCCTCAGTGCCAGTTTTACAAATATTACTCATTTCCACTCCAGGGCCACATGGGGGCTAACCTCAACTCTTATCCGTGTCAATGAATTTGCAACAAATCAACATCTTTGTGATGCTGTTCCTTTTTTTTTCTCCCCAAAAAGAAAACAATTACAGCCAGCTAGGATTCATTCAGAAAGCAGTTTGACACAAAATGTTTAAACATTCTGTAAAATGTAAATTAGATTATTAATCCGTCAGTTAAAATTCTAGAGTAATGTTAGTGGTTGGTTAATTTGTTATGACTCAATTGTCAAGCAAAACGATAACATTTCCAACACATTTCTGCCTTTGTTTGTCATTTCTTACTTGATTGCGAATTAAATATCTTTGGGTTTTAGAGGGTTGGTTTGGAACAATCAGGCAACTGATTGTGACTGATTGGGATTCTTGCTTTGGCTCCAAATGTTTTCTATTCCTCCAAACATTGCAATGTGCTGCTCTGATTAATTACTGCAAGAAAACATATGATGTGATTGATCCTTTCATTTCACCTGCTGAAATGAATCAGAAGTGTCAGCTATTATCAGCTACATTTCTGGATTGAATGAATCGCCTTACAGTACTTATCCAATACATGTTCCATTGGTATAGGTTGTAGTGCCACTGCTCGGATTGACTAAAGGATTAGTTCAAACTTTTAAGAAATATGCTATCTCACTTCTTGTCAGATTGGATGAAAATAGTATTACTAGTGCTGAATGAGTTGGAACAAACACTTGACTGTGATTATTAGTAATACATTATTCTCATTTACATACATTATAATGAACCCGGTGTTATTTTTCTGCCAGGATATATAACAAACAGAAGTCTGTAGAACAGATTCGTAGGCCAAGACCTCACTGCAGCAAAATATTAGTGTGTTACCCAGTCAGCTTCCGTTTCTGTTGGACGGTTTCCACTCGTTTCCAGTCTTTATGCTTAGCTATTTATCTGCTTGCTACACCTTCATGTGTACTGACATACATGAGAGTGATATATATCCTCTAATAAGAAGTTATATCCTTAAAATGTCATCATTTTTTTCCTTAAGGCAATGCCCTTAAAGAATTCTGCTGGAAATGCTGCTCTCTAAAATTGTGATAAACGTTTTTTTAAACAGTCGTCTGCTCTTATTTAGTCTAAATAATTTGTAAACAATTTGAGTAATTGATAGTAAAATGATCATTAGTTTCAGCCCTACATAAATCCATAAGTTTCCTAATATTGTACAGACAGACATGCCTCAAGTAAGCCACGCTGTGGAAATGAGGCTGTGTGAAAAGACAGGCTTTTTTAAGATTTCATATTAGAGTAACGCTTCCTTCTTTAGCCAACATTTGATATCTACGTGCTGTAAGCAAAGATGTGTTGCTGTTGTTTGTTTTTAAAATGTGCTCACTTGGGCATTTTTTCAATTTAAATGTGTCCCTCATCGTCTCACGGTACTCAAAGTGCGAGTATCCGTTTCTCCAGGGCAAACACATGCTGCCTCTTTACTTGCTGTTACCTCTCCTCCGTTAAAACCCACACAATACACACACACACACACACCACGCGTGAACACTTTTATAAAAAGAAAAAGCCTCAAGAAGCATTCCCTGTACTCACATAATCGTGAATGCACACAGACTCATTTTACCTCTGCAAACATCCAGTGACTTGCAGTGCATGGATTAGCCCCCTAAAGCATTCCCTTTGAAACTCGGCAAGTAGGGATTTCTTTTTAGGTGATCACTGGCCTAAGCAGCTGTTACACGCAGGATTAGCAGGTTCTGCCATTCAGACAACATGCTCTGTTTAAACTGGCAGCGTGAGGAGAGCAGAGAAAGACAAGGAAGGGTGGGGGAGGGGTTGTGACAGATGTAGGAGATGAGACGAAATTGAAGAGAGAATAGGAGGTGCGAAAGACGTGAAAATAGGGGAAGAGACGATGAGGGAAGAGGAGTGAGATGTGGAGCAGGAAGGATGAGAGCTGAATCGGGGTGTGTGAAGTGTGAAGGGAAGGAGAGGGGGAAAGGCAAAGAGTGGAAAGAAGTCAGATGGAGAAAAAAGAGTAAAGAAGAGGAGAGGCACACGCTCTAAGGTGTCCGGTATGGCGGATTCAGACCTCTGCCGAGGCAGCAGCTTAAAAGGAGCTGACAATGACGATATTGTTTTGTGTCCTCCTCTGTTTTTAGCTCTTGTGTTCACTTCTATAAAATCATCCTCCTCCTGCCTCTCTGTAAGTGTGTCATCCAGCCACCTTTGTAATTGTGCTGGTCCAAGGTGTTTGGAGAGAGGGAAGGTTGATGGGCTGATAACAGGCCTGGCTTTAGGGGTGGAGAGACATTTCCATGCCAAGCGAGCGCCTGCTTCACAATAGCATCTCACTTGGTCCCCGTGTGTCTCTCACCTCTCCTGCTACCATTCTATCTCACACACCTCACATTGCACTTATAGCTCTCCCTCCACATGTTCTCCCCTCCTCCCTTTTTTGTGTCTTGTAAATGGAGAAACACATCAGGGATTCCTGTTGTTATGAGCTTCATCTCTCCTCTGCTGCTGTTTGTCGTTCCGTTCCCCCACCCCCCTCTGCCTCTTCCTTTTTCGTGTCTAGCAAGGTGTGCAACAGCAGCAGGCAGCTTTCTTAGTTTTCCTGTTTGATGCACCATGGCACATTTCACTGGAACAAGCCAGCGCTTCCCGGGACCAGAACTCATGCCTCGTGTCAGCGCTCCTTCGCCTTGCACTCCACCACTCTCACTCATTACCCTCTCTCCCCTCTCTGCTCTCCCCTGTGCGCCTCCTTCGCTTTCAGCCCATTCCCCTGGAAAGATACGGAAATTGTACATTCAGACGTTCACACACACTCACACTATCTCACATTTACAGACGCACGGAGTTGACAAGTGCAGCCTTTACAGTCACACGCCACACAATTTCTTCAGGTTCTCAAAAAAAAAAGACTTGTACAAGCCAAGGTGTACACAAATAAAAACGAACACCCACACAAACTCACACAGTCATGTTCGAGCCCTTTATCCTTTCTTGGTCATCTGTTTACGGAGTGTGTTGCCCATTTGAGGGAGAATGTAATTGAAACTGAGGCTAATCTGATGATGGCACGGAGAGCAACGGAGCCCCCTCGGCCCTGCATCACCTCTAGTCAGTTTGCACCTTGTAGTCCTTGCTACTTCATTTCATGCCTCAGGGTTCAATACGGCGCTGCCCACTCATACATGCCACATTGATTGTTAATCCGACATTTGATATGCACCGCGCTCACTCAGTTCTGATTTCTTGTTTGTGTCCTCCCTCCTCCTCGTTTCTCTCTTCCCACCACTAAAATTGCTTTTCTTCTCTTCCTCCAGGATGGATATTACTCCCACCGGCCGAAGGAGAAAAATAGAGTGGACAGCAACAACGAGAACTCTGTACCCAAAGACTTTGAAAACATAGACAATAGTAACTTTGGAGCGCGCTCGCAGCCCCACCGGCAGTCTGTGGGGGCCACCAGCAGCAAACAGCAGCGGGAGCATCTGCAGGAAAAAGCGCATGCCCAGCAGCAGGCCTGGCGGGACACCTCCCCGAGCCGAAACTCCAACGAGGTTCTACCTGTAGGCCACCAGACGCTGGCGCTGGGAAACAATGCCTCCCACCATGGAGGTGTCGGGGGAGTGTCACGGCAACACTACCGTGCCTCACAGGCCCAGCAGGCCGAGTCACAACACAGACATCAGTATCCGCACAGGAGGCAGGCAACGGCCGCGCCGCTGGAGGTGACCTATGATGAGCCGCCCAAGTGTGAGATCAGCGGGAAGGAAGCCATTTCAGCTCTATCCAGAGCCAAGAGCAAGGAGTGCCGGCAACAGATCGCAGAGGTGTACTGCAGACACAAGGAAGGGCAATTAATGCCCGAGAAGGTCACTCGGTACTGCCCTCTCGAGGGTGAGTCCTTCATTTGAATTAGTTTGATTGATTATTTGATTTAATTTAATACAAATCGTTATAGTTTATGTGGTTTGGGCAGTCACTTTGTATTTTTCACACAAATCGTATGACAAAATGGGTCGATATCTATCGAGATTCCTAACACCTGAGGGCACCTGATTTTTGAGTTCCAAGTGGTTGTGTTATGTGAACGCGTTTAGCGTGTAAAATCGGATACAACGTAAAGTATCTTGCTATGACATTTCATAATGTATAAATAACCAAAGTTGCCTGGAATGAAAAAAGAAAATGGGGATTGGTATGGTTTGGATCATTACCATACAAGTACCAAACCATTACCCTCCCAAGTACTCAGAATATAAATAGAGTTTATTCAATTTGATACTTTTTCGCCCTCTATTTCATGATCTTTGTTTGAACAATGCATTCAGTCGTGTAAAATGCCACCACAGAAATATGTGATATCACCATTTCCAAAACTGAGCTTTACTTTTAACCAGTGAAAAATACAAAAGTAACCACTTTGGCAGAAAAGTTTCGGGTTATGTAAGACCCTATTGCTTATAGTGTAAGAATCTGGTAGAAAATGGCTTGTTAGTAGAAGTACAAGACCCTGGATTTTTTACATTTGATATTTTCCAACCGATTTTGGCAGGTGCCTTTACCAATATACAGACATGTTTTTAATGTTTTTTTCCAACACATTTTATAGAATATAAATTCTCTACAGTTCATCTCCAATATTGGATTTGAAAACCTTTCCACAGCTTATATCAAAATGGTGATATCATTGAGCATAGTTTTTATACGTTTCAGTTTCTTTTTCATAGCTCTAGTTTAACGTCTTACAAACAAAATGTTGGTTCAGTTGACAACATTTTCTTATTTAGCTCAGTGGACGAAGAAACACTTAACACTGGGTTAGAGTTTCTGTTCAAGGCATTTCTTCTGAAACCCATTATGTACAGTATGTATGCACTCATAATATTTTTAAGATGTATGAGGATAGATACATCTTCCAGTTGGGACACAGGAACCACCTGTAACAGCTTCCTACTGTTGTGCTCCTCAAACATTTGGTCATCTCAAATCAATCATTTTTTCCTTGAGTTGATGATTCAGGCAGACTCACTAAAATAGAAGTGAAAGAGGAAAATCTCCTGGAAATGAATGCTGACAGGTTATCAATGTCCGCTCTTCATAAAGTTTGACATTGCATTGTGCTCTCATTATTTGCTCCTACTCTCTGCAGTAGTAAATCATTTTCAAAGAAAACATCTAATTCTTGTCAAAGGCAGGAAATGCCTTTTTTGCCAAAATATAATTAGTGGAGTAAATTGTTGGATAAAATGGGGATGCTGCTTTTCTCTCAAGTTGGTTTCCAATTTTTGTTGGGTTGGCCACAGTACAGAGATGATCTTCTTTTTTTCAAGCTGGCACACACAAACACACACACATTGGCTTTCTTTTCTCTATGAAATGATGGACATCTGCAGTCCGGTTGTGGATCTGTAAACAGAATCTGCTGCGGCTGCCACCGTCGGTGGGCGGCTCGCATCAGCAACCATGTTGAAGTTAACAGAACACACACGCACGTACATTTACACACATGGGAGTGGACTGAAGGCTGCACGGACAGCAGGGAAGGAGGAGAAAGCTATTATACATCCTGCCTGTTCTACTTCCTCCCTCTCCCCTGTTTTTAGAGCTCGATGAGGCACCGTGACTTACCAACTTTTGTACATTTCCCATCCCAAGAGCAGTAGTATCGTTTCTGTGCCCAAACTACTGTCATCTCACACAGCAACGCATCATCCCACTCACACTGACAGTTTGATCAGAGGAGACAAAGAAATTGAAAAAGGTTTTTCCCTGATGGCGGGCTGCAAAAACACGACAGCTAAATTAAATCACTTTCTTTCCTACTCTCGGCCTGCCTGCCTGCCTGCCAATGTGTTATCTCTCTCTCTCTTCCCCTCCTCTGTTCCCCATGCCAATTCAAGTCCTAACCTTGTTAGCAGAAAATTGTTCAATTTGGTTTGATCGGTATGCCGTCCTTGAGGCCTCGGCTAGATTAGCAATTGTGATAGCTCGGGTATTAGCGTCATTTAATACAGCAGGAACATGTTTCATCTATTTGCCTCCCATATGCTAACTTGGCTAATAGTAATGTGACTGCGCTGCTCCCGCAGGAGTGCTGGCTGGCAGTGACCTTTCAGCAATAGCTTCAACCTAATGGCCAACGAATTTGTGTAAGGAATTTGTGACACACCTAAAGACAAACCATACTGTGAAGTTTACATCAGCCTTATGAGCTTTATAGCTTCTTTCACTGTTTCTCAGTGTCTTTGATTATTTGTATCCGCTGCTCTCAAAGCATCATTTCACACCACAACTGTCAGCTGTGCGCAGCTTGATGCTCAGTTAGTAAGCATTTAGCTGACAAAGAGCCACATATTTCGCTTGGCAGGTTGTTGTCGTCCAGCATCTTGTTGAGTGAAGCTGTTAACTGGAGATAGGAATGTTTACACATGGAAACTGCCTGTCAAAAGACTGTATCCCGCAGGATACCGAAACCATTTAAAGGTTATCATGTAGCTGGTTAGCTAGTTTGCCCTGTTTTTGCTGGATGTGTAAATAGGCAACTTTTTGCTAACGTTCTTAATTTCAACTCAAGAGGGGATAATATTTCAGTGTTCCTCCAAGTGGCCTTTATTTCAGCTTTACATATATAACGTACTTTATTGAATTTCCCCACTGCGGATCAATAAAAGTGTAACATATCTTTAAAGAAAAGGAAATTAAGTGTTTTATTGTATTCTTAAAAATCAAACCCATGGATATGATTTATGTTTGCAGAGCTGGCTCTGCTGATGTTTCGATGTAGCAGACGCCATCCCCGAGACATTTCCAAATGCAATTTGGAACAAGCCCTTTGGGATAAAGCTCAGCTCTTGTTCTATGAGCAGTTAAGATGGAGGGTTGGTAAGAGCCCGAAGTTACACAAGATGATGGAGGAAGAGAGCGGGGTGATAGCAGATGAGGTAGAGGCAGTTTAAAAGATTGATGGCGATGGGAAGCATGATGAAGAGTGATGAGTTCAAGAAGAGGGCTTCTGAGTTTTTTTTCCTTTTCGGAAAAAGGCCCGCAGTGCCTTCAGGTGCAGAAAAATACTACACGTCAAGCTCTTCTGCAGATAAACACACATGCTCGACAAAACTGACAGTAAAATGTAAGTTATCTCTCTCACACACACACACACACACACACACACACACACACACACACACACACACACACACACACACAAACACATAGCAGTGCTCATTAGTTCAGCTAGCTAGCATAGCACACACTCTCAAAGTGCTTTGTGAAACGACTGGCCAATTATCCGTGTGCAAAGCAAACCAGTGAACCTTCTTAGCTGGCCACCAATTACCGCTCAATCTGATACGGCTCACAGCAGATTTCCCCCAAGAGCTGTCACACACACATAGACCTACACACACACACACAGAGAGAGATGAGACGAGCGAGAGAGATGAGACGAAGATCAGAGAGAGAGATTCTGATGAGAGATGCAATGCAGAGAGACTCGTCGGACGAAGATGAGAGAGATGACGAGAGAGAGAGAGAGAGAGAGCGAGAGAGAGAGAGAGAGAGAGAGGAGAGAGAGAGAGAGAGAGAGAGAGAGAGAGAGAGAGAGAGAGAGAGAGAGAGAGAGAGAGAATAGCGGGTAATAGCGGGTAATAAGTATGAGTGACTAACAGGAGCCACAGCCAATTGGAGCCCAGGGAGCCTGTCATTAACCCAACCTTGTGGTCAACCTTTAAACAAAGCCATGTTGGACACCTGCCCTTACATTTGAATGAATGAGATTAGTTAAACAGTGGGGAAGAAGCCTTTTAGCCGGTCGCTGTCGACTAATAAAGAGCCGACGTGTGACACTCGCCTTTAACATTTTGAGTAATTACAGGAGCCTCAGGGCCAGACTGGGAGAGGAGCCGGGAGGGGTAATTTGTTTCAATGTGCGCTCAGAACTCCCTTACTGTAGCTTCGTCTATTTCTTCAGCACTGCAGGCTCTTGGGAACTGAAGTCCCAAATTATAGTAATTAATATACTTAAGGCACGTTCTGTAAACAAACATGTCTCATAAGCTGCATGCCCACATTTGCTGTAATAACTGAGGTTAAAAACAAACAATATGTGTAATGTAATGTTGTGGGACTTGATCATGCAGAACTGCCTCGATACACTTTTTCTTCTCAAGTTTTGAAGAGCAATTGTTTGTCTTAGTGCACCCCAGAGGAATCGTTTATAGGATTCCTGTCTGAATGAGGATAGTAGTTACAGTGTGTAAGGGTCTGGTTGAAATTGTCATGGTTCAAGTTCAATCACAAAAACCGATAAGAGATTTTGTGCTCATGCTTTTTCCACAGTAGGGCTGAAATAGCTGTCGGACTTTCTTTTACTAAGTTTGTTTATTATATCTTGGTTGTCAACTTACTTGTGTTCCTTGTGCATGACATCTGATGTATTCTAAAGGATAGTTTGGTTTCTTTAAAGTGGATTTGTATGATGTAGTTATCTATAGTCAGTTAACCACCTGACTGTTGGCCTACCTTACAAGCTCGTAGAAGCATACAGGAACACCAGCATGGAAATCAATATCAGATTTTAGGTACACTATTCTTTCCGATGGGGCACTGAGGCAGTTAAAACTATCTATGGTCTCTTTAAATCTACCAGATTCCATTCACAAAGAAATATTTTACCTTGCGGTTGGTCTACCACTGCTTCAATTAGTTAGTTTTACAAACCAAACAATCAAGGCAGCATAGAAAAGCAACCCTCTTGTTTGCAAAAAGCAAATGTCTTTATTTTTCAATAGAGTCTCGTTGCCTTGGTAAAGCAAAGGTAAAAGATTCAGTTTGATAGGAAGGTAAAGCAGCAAAGATATTTGAAATATAGTTTACGTTCAAACTGATTTTGATCTGTTTGTAGGTCAAACCGTTGCTAAAGTGAAACCGTTGCTACAGCCCCAGATCCAAACTATCCCTTTTAAAAGAAGCACAAGTTATAAAACCACAGCCTGCTCAGTAAGTGTTTCTCAAACCATAATGGCTATATAATAGTCCTATATTATATCTTCAAAAGAGCATACATTTAGAAATATAGGCATTTCCCCAGTTCCGACTGTGGCAGGAAAGACAATGTAAAATATCGACTTTATGTTCACTTGTTACATAGCAGTTAAGTAATATGAATATGCTAATCATACCACTCTGCTACTTACCGTGTTGCTGAGCAACCTTGTTTTGAAGCTATTTCCCTTGTTGTTTATTGAAAGAATGACATTTTATTACTATATTCCTTATCCCTCAGAGATATTTATAGGTGCTCCCCCATTATACAGTAACATATGGCGCTGTTTGTGCAGCCTCTCATAGATAATCATGTAAATTACAGATTTGATTTGGCAATCAAACATGCAAACAACCCCTGGTTATATTACTGATGCAATGCTGTGTGAATATGTCGTTAATACAAGATGTATGTTCCCTGGTGTTGTTACATAAATGTTGTCTTATCTTACCTTACAGGTAAAGCCAATACTAATGTCCAGTGGGATGAAGACTCTGTGGAGATCTTTCCTATAAAACCAGTCAGAATAGCGTTTGTCCTGGTGGTCCACGGACGATCCTCCCGCCAGTTTCAACGCCTCTTCAAAGCCATCTTCCACAGCTCGCACTACTACTACATACACGTGGATCAGGTGAGCACAGAGAGAGGACAAACATGATGTACCTGCAAATCAATCATTTCATCAATGGAAGTTTGAATAGACTTTTAAACTCGGGGGTCTGTAAAAATTGCTTCATGTAAGAATTGATGTTCTAAGACTCTTAATCGTTTCCCAACTTACAAAAATCAAAATAACTTGTAAATTGCTTCTGATGGACAGTAACCCTACACATCTAGTCAAAGTTGTGTCACATTGTGTGATTGGTTAAAACATTGCACTAAATACAATTTTTACAGCGATAATTTGAGACATCCCACCAAATATCACTATGAAAATAAATGCAACAGTCAGCATTTCTTTTTTCATTTCAACTGTAGTTTATGCATGTTAAATATGAATAAATGTGAGCTTTTTTGTGTTAGCATTACTGCAATTAATTTATGGTATTTATATATAAAAACTTTTTTCTTATACTCTGCTTTCATGGCATCATTTTCCATACCGCATTTACTAACAATAAGAGTAGATCATAAAATGAACTCCCTTATGTACTGAACTAAGAACACATTGGTATTCGATACAGGAGGTACTGAAAGATTCACTCCTAATTACAATGTTCTTTGTTTGTCAATAACATCACTCTCTTGCTATCAGACATTATATTAATTAGAGTGTTTTGTTCCAGCGCTCCAACTATCTGCATAGGCAGATTCAAGCCATGGCTGCCCATTATCCCAATGTGAGGGTGACACCTTGGCGCATGGCCACCATCTGGGGGGGGGGCCAGTCTGCTGACCATGTACCTCCGCAGCATGGCCGACCTGCTGGCCATGAGGGACTGGAGCTGGGACTTCTTCATCAACCTCAGTGCTGCCGACTACCCCATCAGGTAACAGAGAGGTTTTTTACTGCAATTGGAGTTTAGTACATGGTTGTAGAGGAGACCTGACTGAGGTTATTTATATATATTAGATTAGATTTTTTTATTCCAGATTTGAGATATAAAAAAAAATGTATCACAGCAACATGTAAATTGTCCATTACACATGAGTTAGACATTTAATAAAATAAGATAAAAGAGAATAGAAAAAAGATAAACAAACATAAACAGTAAAAATATACATATCAACAGTAGAACGAATATATAAATAGATTGTCTTAGGAATACACAATATAAAATATGCAGAATAAGTAAGAATACTCTATAATAGACCAATTAACAAAAAGTTATATACATAGGATACTATATACATTACAAAAGTGTGCAGAGTAGTTTTTTTTTTTATTAAGGTTACAATTGAGATGCAATGAGGTAGTGTGAGTACAATATGTGCAAATGTTTCTGTTAAAGGTGGAGTCAAGAAAAGAAAAAGGAAACTGTGAGTTCTCTGCTAGCCTGACAGGAGAATTGTCCTGTTAGGAAATGAACTTAGGTGTAAGCAGTGTACAGTTATATCTGTGACAAAGGCACAACAATAGCAGAGCACTTTCAGCCAATATGCTAGCAGTAATTCAATACACACTGGTATGGGTTCCTGCGGTTAACTGTGAGCTTTAAATAAAGAGTCACTCCACACCAAACAGATCAATGAAGTAGAACCTCTGCTTCTCTCAAACACTATGCGTTCACACCTTCTCTTCGAATACCTGCTCCTTTGCTCACACTCCATTGAAAGGGTTACATGTTGAACTAATTAGAATTGAATTGCACAGGGTCAATACCTATCGACGCTCCAGGCCTGTTGTGTACTGTACGTACGGTACTAAAGTCATCTCCACACCACTCCAAAACATCCCCTTAAAGAGGCTGTAAAAGGTCATTAAAGCCACTAAGTGTACGTGAACTGGACATGAAGTCATGGAAATGGCCTATTGGACGAGACATCTTGTGACTTTTTTTTTTTTTTTTGCGAGTTTATAGTCCTTTGGGGAGTTCAGGGTCTGCTGGGTTTTTGATGTAGCTCTGCAGCAGCCAATTAAAATCCTCCTATTAAGGGGAGAGTTATCTCTTCTGCGCAGCCAGATGTCCACCAGTTGAGTTTAGACAGGCTGTAATGGCCGCTGGGCAGAAAGAAGCTGGATCTGATGTCTCCACAGCTGGAGCGAGGATGCAGGGGCAAATGTGGATTTTATTCAAAGATGGGTTCAGTCTTGTTATGTACGGATGTTTTCCCATATACCGATGAAGTTCAGCATCTGTCTGTGTACACGCCTGTCCGTGCGCCTGTCAGCGCATGATTAAAGGTATTTGCGAGTGCATGCACCGAGACACTGTTTTCTTCCCGTCTTTTGCATCCTCATTTGCATGAGGGTGATGTTGTTGTGAAAAAGGCTGACAGTGAAGGTTTTAAGCCCCATCTGTTGGGAAACGGAACGATTGATAGAGGGAAAGACGGAGCCGAGAGACAGAAATGACAGGGAGAGGCGAGGAAGCGAGAATAAGCAGTTATAGGAAAGGGGAACAAGAGGAAACCGCCTGTTTTAGATCCATGCCATTTAGAAATATGTAAATGCAAATCTTGTATCTTTGCTTAACAAGTGCATTCGAAACCACAGCTAGATTTGACTGTCTATTTACTCATTTGAACTGTGGTCCTTTTAAGTGGCAGGCCTGGGTTCAGACCTCTGCTCGAGGGGGCTTCCTTCTCAAGTCTCCTCAAGCAAGAAATCCAAACCCACTCAGCTGTTTTGTCGCTGATAATCCTCTCTGATTTTCTTTGGAGACATTCCCCCTCGAGAATAAACACAGCATTACATTGTCATTATGAACTTACTATAGCACAATACAGCACGGAGGAAGAAGACCGTGTTGGAATAAGCAGATGCCTCAATCACACCTCAAGGTGCTGTGTCCAAAGTTGACATTACACCAAGTTCTCTCCATGACTCCAATGTCATTTATTAAGCTGAAAATATATCCTGAATGTGCATCAGTCTTTCCTTAAAGGGTTAGAGTTTGGGTTAAGTGTTCCCTACAGTTTTATATTGCCATTAGAAATACATCTCAAGCAGGAAAGTCGTTCTATTATCTATGATCTTTTCTCCAGTCTCCATCAACAGAAACTGTAATTTTCCCTTGCAGACCTCGGGAGCCGCTGGTCTAACGCTTCTACCATCGATTTGTTTATTAGTGTTATTGTTTGACTTTGGTGAATCAGAACCAACACTTGAAAACACGGAAGTCACGCAATAACCCAAACTAACTAACCGATCAAGGTAGCGGTAGACCAGCATGGAGGTAAGAACACAATATTAGTCAATGGAGTCTGCTGGCATGGAAAGGTCTGTATAAAAGAATGGCAAAGCCGGGAAAATATTGGTCTCTTTTGTAAATAAAGCTTACACCTAAACAGCTACTGATTTATTTTTAGTTGGCCAAAATTAGGTTTTGTTGCTGCCTTTTCCACAAGTATAAAGCTTTACTACTGTACTGCTACTCCCTTCTGACTCCAAACTAGCCGTCATTGACTGTAGGTAATACACTGACTTTGAAACACCACAAAGTAAGACCTATGAGAACTCTCTTAGGAGCAGTTTAAGTATTTGTGGTCACATACTTTTCTTATTTGACCAAACAGTAGGCACTAAAGGTGTGGGGGGGGTGGCACGCTGCCCTGACTGCTGCTGTTGTTATCAGTGGGACTGGAGACATGGATTATTTCCCCTCTAATTCCCTGATAATGTCTGTCCTGCCGCATGGATGGCTCTCAAAAGGCAAACCCAGAGCCCCTCACACCAGCACAGGGGCTGAGTCTGTGGGGAGATATGCCGTGTGTGTGTGTGTGTGTTTCTGTCCAGAGAGGCCAGAGGATGAGTTACACGCTTGCTTTGTCAGGGTGCAACCCTCTTTCCCAGCTTTAATCTACACAGTCTCCTTCCTTTACCTCTTTATTCTCTTAAAAGCCCCTTTCATAGACTTCAGAGCGGCTTTTAAGAAGTCTGAGCTTTGAGCTTTTGAGACAATGACTGGTTGCAGGCGTCGTATCGTCTAATCTCTGTCACTTTGTCATCTCTGTCTCGGGGAAAAAGTTGTATCTCATATTTTGGCTTTGTTCCATAAGTGATAGGTGACATTCCCTGCTGTGAAAAAAGCCTGTATTAGAACTATGTCAAAAAAATAAGAAGTAGTAAAAACAAGAAGTATATTTAAATTAGGTTGCAGAACTTTTTGCAGGTTGGACAAACATAATAAATAAATAAATCAACACTGCTCTGTTAGTGCATTCATAACCTGTGGTCCACTGGTATTCCCCTCTAGACTGGTATATTGAAAGTCTTTTTTATATAAATGCATATCATTGATTTACCAGTTAGACCATGATAGGGAAATAGTGGCACAATCTTGAAGTGTACCTTGCAGTGCTATTGAAAATGTGCACATTTCATAGCTACCAGGCGGAGTTGAAGCTCACAGCAGAGTGTGTGTTACAGTAATATGTGCGTGTGAACACTGCTGTGAGACAGGGCAGCCACAGGGCTGACAGTAAGCAAACTAGACCCAGTGGACGGGGTGACCACTCAGGTGGCAAATCTGGAGCTTGACATGAATTCCCCTCGCTCTGTGTGTGTGTGTGTGTGTGTGTGTGTGTGTGTGTGTGTGTGTGTGTGTGTGTGTGTGTGTGTGTGTGTGTGTGTGTGTGTGTGTGTGTGTGTGTGTGTGTGTGTGTGTGTGTGTGTGTGTGTGTGTGTGTGTGTGTGTGTGTGTGTGTGTGTGTGTGTGTGTGTGTGTGTGTGTGTGTGTGTGTGTGTGTGTGTGTGTGTGTGTGTGGATTCGTGCCTGTGGATTCGTGCCTACAAGCAGTTGTGTGCCTCTGTGCCTGTACATTGTCTGTGTGGGAAGTAGAGACAGAGAAGCCTGCATGTGTCTGTGCGGCACATCATCAGTTGGGCTTTATGGCTCAGGACCTCCTAAAATAAGCCCCCCAGGCTGTGAAATTGCTCCTTGAAGAGAAAATGACATTAATATGCGCTTGTCCCTCCCCCCAATGATCCTCAAGCTTTTTACCAGAGCCTCGCTGCTATTTTAGCGAGGCAAGCCAAGCCATCATGAAAAGCTCCACCACAGAAGAAATGTTAGCGCCATTGACTGTGGCGTAGCCCGCGGAGCCAAGCTTTTAGCCTGTCTGGCCCGTGTGAGACCGCGGGGACGGCTCTATAATGGAAGAGCAGCATGGAGTCATTTATCAAAATCATGGATAGCACAATCTTTTGTATAATCCTAAATAGTTTTAACGGTGTGAAGGGACTGAGGGTCTGATGCTGGGCAGCCGATGTCTGTGATTGTGACTCAAAAACGTGTTTTGCTTATTCACACACTGTTTGAACTTCACTGTGATGAGTTTGTTTGACCTGCTGAAGGTCTTGAATCTGAGTTTGATGACATCACTTCTAGATTGGAGAGAGTCATGGTCCAGTATGCAACTTGTGCAAAGTCTGATGTGGAAAATGGAACATCGTGACATATATGTAGTGAATTTTGGAAAAATATAATATTTTCATTGAGGGAGATAAAATAAACTTTACATTGCCAGACCCTAATGGCAAATGCCATTTATCATGTTCTTTCCATTACATTACATTACATTACATTGCATTTAGCTGACGCTTTTATCCAAAGCGACTTACAATAAGTACATTCGACCAGGAAGACACAACCTTGAAGAAAACAGAATCATATAAGTACATCAGGTTTCATAGAGCCAAACATTTCAAGTGCTACTCAACTGGCTTTAGATAAGCCAGTCCGTTATTAGTATATAAGTGCTTTGTTAATAATTCTATCGCTCGAAGTGGAGTCGAAAGAGATGAGTTTTCAGTCTGCGCCGGAAGATGTGCAAGCTATCTGCCGTCCTGATGTCAATGGGGAGCTCATTCCACCATCTTGGAGCCAGGATAACAAACCCACGTGTTTTTGCCGATGGGAACTTGGGTCCCCCTCGCAGCGAGGGTGCAGCGAGTCGTTTGGCTGATGCAGAGCGTAGTGCACGCGCTGGGGTGTACGGTTTAACCATGTCCTGGATGTACGAAGGGCCAGATCCATTCGCAGCATGGTAAGCAAGTACCAGTGTCTTGAAGTGGATTCTAGCAGTTACCGGAAGCCAGTGAAGGGAGCGGAGGAGCGGCGTGGTGTGGGAGAATTTAGGAAGGTTGAAGACCAGACGAGCCGCTGCATTCTGGGGCGGAGTGTTATCCACAGGCGCAGACTAGACAGGATTGGATAGACCTTAAATATAAGAGCAATGTAACATGTGGCTAAGTGATGAAAACATTTAAACAATATGAGTTATTTCACAGTTTTTAAGGAACTTTAGTTTAAAGCCACCAGTAAACAGATGGATTCATTTGCATAATTTTCTTCTTAAAACCTGCTTCTGTACTGTTCTGCAAAATGAAGGTTCCAGTTTGGTCTCCCCATATGTTTTCCAGTCAACAGTAAGTCCTTGTTCTTCCATTTCAGGACCAACAACCAGCTGGTGGCCTTCCTGTCCAAATACAGAGACATGAACTTCATCAAGTCCCACGGCAGGGACAACGCCAGGTGAGAAGCACATTTTTTAAACTTCATTTTAACACCCTAACCTTCCTCTTCACTCAGCGGCTCGCTGGCCTGTCTGGTTCCCTCACACACAGCAGCACCTAAGCACCACGCCGTACTCCTGCCACATGGCGTGGTCACTGAATCATAATACAATTAGCTCCCATCTGTGGCTTCATTAATTAACCTTCTTGGTGGCGTGAGCTAGCGAGGTCATTGCCAGAGCGGCTTCTTCCTGCTGCCACCCTCTAATTCCTGCATCTTCACAACACTGCGACAAACCAGTCATCGCTAAACACCGTGGGCAAAAAGAAACACCCGAAAAACACTTGAAAATCCAAAGATATATTTATTTTCAGCATGGTTGCATGAGTCAGCGTGACTCAGCAGTACCTTTTTCTATTTGCAGTCAACAGTATGTGAGTGCTGTTATGTTCCTGATTTAGTTTGGTTTAAACAACAATAATGATCTCAGTAATCCACCTCTATGTGCATATGCGATTTTAGTTGCACCATAATGTAATTTGCACTATTTTATTTACACTATTTTATATATTCTTTCTTTTATGTAAGTATATTGAAAACTAAAAACCCATCTGTTGTTCTTATATCTTGTCCAAACCCAACTCAAAAACTCAATTGAAATACTTAAAGGGGTAAAAACTAATGCACCAGCACTGACAGTGGTTTGGTTTATTTTAAGCTAATGTACCTCTGAAGAAAAACATGTTTTATTGAACTGATTGTTATCGTTTTGGATAAAAGCTTGAGCTAAATGAAATGTGATATTGTATGTTGCATGTTCGGAGTTAGCCTGGGGCCTAAAATAAGATTTCCATTGCCAACAGCTACACAGAAGCTTTTGTGCCGAAGACAATTATTTATTCTACTAATAACTAATTCATCCAAACAAGAAAAAAGTATAATTCATACACACAAAGATAAACAAAATTAGTAGAAGCGGGAGGGCTGAAGCATAGCTTATGGGAAGTAGCCCTCCCGTGAATCATCCTAATATAACATTGGCATTATTGCGTCAAAAACGTATAGAAATTAAGGAGTACAAAGAAATAAAGAACGACTAGGGAAAACATAAATTGAAGTTAGGGAAAAAATAAATAAATGCATTTGAAAACTACATATAGGGTCATTTTCTGCACAAGTCAATAGCAGTTGACTATCTTTTTTGAAAAGGAAAATACTATATATAAAAATATATATATGTACACATGTACTTGGCAAATAAATAATAATAATATGTGCAGATAATGATATATGCATATAAACATTGTGGACACTTATTTTCAAGTGACTTTTTTTTACATTCATATGTTCACACAACATATACATAAGCACCATATGTTCAGGTGTAACAAGTACACAAATGCACTCATATACACCAATACAAATATTACAAGGCAATTTCCAGGGCTGAAATAATAATTCAACCGCATAACGATGAAAATAAATAAAAAGTAATGTAAACAATATTAAATAAATAAACAAACTGAGAAGTTAATATTTCCAAAAAAAAATATTGATTCTGGGAATACCCAATATTTGTTAGCTGGAGTAATCTGCAAATATACATTTTTTTAATTTAGTTTTGAATTGTTGATGACAAGTGATACTTGAAAGGTCTGGGTGAAGTCCATTCCACGTTCTAACTCCGATTATGGATAAGCTGTGTGATTTGATGGTTGTTCTACAGGGCTTGCTACAGGATGCCTAGTTGGGTATTTCCTGACTGTGGTTTGGAACTGCTTTTGAATGTTATTAGGCATTTTGTTATGGAAAATGTTGTACATAATCAGTACTGTTTTAAGCTTTACTATGTCAACACATTTGAATAGATTGAGTTTTTTAAATATGGGAGTTGTATGTTCATATTTACCAACACCACAGAATGAGTGCATTTCTAAAATGTCTTTCACGTATGTTTGTTTAAGCCACAAGGTCGACACATCAGTGTTAGTCAGCGTTCAGGTAACAGAGGGATCAGTCTGACCCGGCTGACCAGAATTTGACTCCCTCCATCAACACTCGATCCGTCAGTAGGAGTAACACCATCCATTATGCATACAGGGTGTCACTCGGTCTGTTGCTGATAAAAGTGCAAATGACACATTTCTCCTGTCGTCTCAGGTCAAGGATAGGACAAAGATTCTGCTAAAGTAAAGTCATTTTGGGATGTAATGTTTAAATACCAACATAATATCGATAAGGGTTTAACCCCTGAACCCTAACCCTGAAACTCTTTTTGCTCCTGTCACATTTTACTAATTTCCATGTATAGTCCTGCTCCTCTATGGATACAACACAATAAGGGCTGGACGAAGGAGAAAAAATGTGTTTTGTGCAGGACAACGCAGTAATCAAAGAGAACAAACTAAACTTGAATTTCTTTCATAATTTATTTAGTGTCTTGCCAATATTGGAAGAAATGGGGGGCTCCACATGCTGTATAGAGTAAACAATTTACATGTTTACAACCACTCTAGCCCTTCACTCTGTGCTTTGTGTCAACAGTCTGTAGTTCAGTCAAAGTTTTGCTGCGTTTTTCTCACGTCGCTGTCGGCCTATGTTGAGTGATTAATGGCTCTTTGCAAAATGTTATATTTTCTACAGGAACTGGTTAGTGCAAACGATTAAGTCTTGGTCAACTTTGAAATGAGACTTGTAGGATAAAAATGTATTTACATGTATTATTATAACTTAGCATAGATATGGTAATTAGTTTGTTGATGGAAGCCTTGAGTGTGTGTTCAAATACAATCAGAAAGTAAAAAATATATTCCAATCCATTTTATTTATATAGCACATTTAAAAACAACAGAGTTGAACAAAGTGCTGTACATCAACAACTGTATAAAAACATAGCAAAAATACATAAAAACAGACAGGATATGAAACAAATACGAGACAATGAAACCAGATCAGAAGCCACCGACTGAAAAAACTCTCCTATATGACGTAAAAACAATACAAAACACTAGTAAGTAAATAAATAAATAAAAACCACATTTTACAGCACAAGTGTATATTGTAATATTGGACTTTTCTTTACAGTTTTTCTTTAAAAAAAAGATGCATTTCAAATTGCTTTTGGGTTTAAAATATCAGCATGACAAATCTGTAATCTCTCTTTGTAGAGTTGTGTCTACCTGCACATACTTTACAGTATTCTCTTTTTTAGCTCACCTTGTTTTTTAACCAATTTTTCCCCTGATATTATTACAAGCATTCCTTTTTTCCCACTGGAAGAGAACAATGTTCACTGAAGTCCACAAAGGCCTCTTGTGACAGGCACAGATCCGCTTTTCACTGGAAAGTAAAAATAGAATTGGCAAAAAATAAAAAATAGCTTCTGATTATACACAAATGTCCCTCTAAATATAAAACAAGAACTAAAGAGTGCTTCTTTTTATGCAAATGGTGTTTTGAAAGTCTAATTTTCACCTGCTTGCTTGTTTGTTTCTCTTACTGAAAAATAAAAGCTCTCATTGTTTAGTTTATTTAATTATATTCAGCGGTGTAACCATATGTTTGCGTGTGCTCGCCAGGTTTATCCGTAAGCAGGGTCTGGACCGTCTGTTCTTCGAATGCGACACCCACATGTGGAGGCTGGGCGACCGTAAAATCGCAGAAGGCATCTCTGTGGATGGAGGGTCCGACTGGTTCCTCCTCAACCGCATGTTTGTGGAATATGTCATCAACTCCAAGGACGACCTGGTCACCAGCATGAAGCGCTTCTACGCCTATACTCTGCTGCCGGCCGAGGTAACACACATCTACACTCACCACTTTTACACACACACCACTTTTACACATCCAAGTGTTTCTTAAAGTGGACCTATCATGCAAAATGCACTTTTGTACGTCTTTTATACATGAATATGTGTCCCCGGTGTTCCAGGGAACTCACCAAGTGTCATAAAACACAACCCTCTCTCTTTTCCTCCGTACCCAAGTCTTTTAAAAACGTGGCTACAACAAGCGGATACAGATTCCATCCGACCCGACGTCAGCCTGGAATACTGGGCGGTGGCGCTCCGCCTACATGGCCAACTCTCCACCTATCAGGGGAATGTGGGGTTGAGCCACGGCCGGCCATTGCCGCTCGAAAGCGCTGGTGACGCTGTAGTACATATGCCAGGCCTGTAAGTGGCGCTGTAGTCTGCCACAGAAGCAGCGAAGAAGACTTCCCTTGCATGGTTGCCATGGTTACCCTTCTGTTTATTCTCCGCTGTGGCTCTTTTTCTCCCTCCCCGAGGCAATCGTTTGCTCCTGCTGCTGTTATTCAATTCAATCCCTCCCTCGCTGTAATTCTCTCCGGTTAGTCCACCAGCAGATGACAAACACCCACCTCTCCGCCTCTTCCAAGGAACGAGGGAACTGTGCTGCAGAGTTTCAGTTAGATTTTTTTTCGCCGGTCAACATAACATGTCCGTTAAAGTTTAAATCTTCCGGACAAAATTAGAAAAGTGCCGGTCAAAGGTCTTCTTTGTTATTTATTGAGCTTTAAAACAAATGAATAATGACTCTATATAAATCATATAAGAATAAAACACGGAGGACGGAGATCTCTTTTCCTCCCCCTCTTCTGAGGGCCCAGCAGCCGATCTCCCTCTCCTGCAGGGGGGCGTGGTCAGATGCAGCTCACAGAATCAGCCCCCTGCAAAAACAGGGCTGGAAAAGAGCAAATTGAGCGAAATGAGGCATGGCTAAAATGCATGATCTGTTTGGTATTTTGAAAAAAAAACTTCACAGACATGTTTTATATAGGTATGGCCCTACAATATATGTTTCAAATATAGCATGATAGGTCCACTTTAACCTTCAACTGACAGGCTTTGCTCTTCCCCTTTGTATAGAAACAGAATACACTTTTTCCTTATCATAGCTGTATTAAATGTGTAGGGAAACTCATAGGCAGAAATAAAAGCATAAAATGAAGGCTGACTTTCCAAGCGTATTCGAGAATTGGAAAATAACTGAATGATCTCTATTGGAAAAGTGGATGTTTATCATGAGCTGTACCTCCAGTCGCTGCTACTCTATTTCCTCTCTGTGAATTGAATATTGAAAAAAATGCGTGCTATTTTCTAATATTGTCTTTCTTTCTCTGCCCTCTCCCTCTTCCCACGACTCCCCCACCAGTCGTTCTTCCACACAGTGCTGGAGAACAGCGCCCACTGTGAGAGCATGGTGGATAACAACCTGCGCATCACCAACTGGAACCGCAAACTGGGCTGTAAGTGCCAGTACAAGCACATCGTGGACTGGTGCGGCTGCTCCCCCAATGACTTCAAGCCTGCAGACTTCCACCGCTTTCAGGTAAAAATAACATAAAACAATAAGGTGGGATAAAAAATGTGGCTTGCCAATTTTCTACAATTAATTATGCGTCCAAATGCAGGGCCAGAAGGTAGGTATCTGCCCATATTTTGCATGAATATTATTTTTACAAAGAAAAAATACTATTTTCATTTCCAAAGGTTACAGAGGGACTGCTAACGTCCTTACACGCCTGCATGGCCTTTATTTTCTCATTTTCAGAATCTGATTTAATTTCGTCTTCGTTGCATCTCTGAAATAGTAGAAAAAACTAAATGGCTGCAGGCAAACCCTCCAAGCAAGGACGATTGTACTGCAAAATACAATGCCAGTGAAACTGAATTGATTAATAGGCCTTTATCTCAAGGGCACAATACAAACGTTGTGTGAAATGCTGGAAAATCTATATACATATGTCTATATAGAGCAGGGGTAGCCAACATGGTGCCCGCGGGCACTCAGTCGCCCGCAGAGGCAACGTGAGTCGCCCGCCGGGCATGTTCTAAAAATAGCTCGCCAAGCAAATCCAAAATGTATAAAATACACAAAACAAAAAAGGAAATGTAATTAAAAGAATCTACCCTATGCATAAACGACACATAAATCATAGCGAACTCTATCTACTTACTACAACTCTATATCTAACGCCCCTCCTCCCCCACCCCACAATGAATATCGACCAATCACGTTCTTGCTTGATTTGCGGGACCAGCGTTGCAGTCGGGAAGAAAAGCAATGTGGCACCTCCCCGCTGATTTTCCTTCTGGCAGAATCTACACAACACATCAGCCCCATTGAACAGCCTATCATGCCAGCCAATACAGCACATGAGGGGCAGAGTTTTACTGTGTGTGTTGTAACTTGCATATATATTTATTCCACTTGACGCACACACACGCATGGCGTAATCTCCACTGGGGACAGGGGGGGGGGGGGGGACATGTCCCCCGCACTTTTCGAAATCGCGTTTGTGTCCCCCCACTTTACAAATATGTTTATTATTTTTTAACACAAGCCGTCCTCGCCACGGAGGAGCACACAGTCTCTGTGAGCGAGCGATACAGAGGGAGAGAGAGAGAGCGAGCGAGGGAGAGAGAGAGAGCGAGCGAGGGAGAGAGAGAGAGCGAGAGAGCACACTTTTATCTATGTAATATAGATAAAGTAAGAAATCATTCCAATGTGTACTATAGGGCAGTACAAAAAACAGTTTAAAGGGGAATGATTAGTAAAATATGCATAAATAAAAAGAAAGAATGCTAACTACTAGGTAACATAAGATAAGAATAAACAAGTTTAAACGATGTGTTATTGGTTGTGATGATATTCTAAAGATGATTGGAGTATTGAAAAGTATACATCTCCCTTTCATCTGAGAGTTGAGAGCTGTATCCATAAATTCATTTTGTGCTCAAAGTGCACCAGATTGATGCATTTCACTTCAACATTTAAAAAAACATCTTCCCGGGGGTGCATGCCCCCAGACCCCCCTAGAGGAGGTGAGGACCCCCCCTAGAAGATGTGAGGACCCCCCTAGAGGATGTGAGGCCCCCCTAGAGGATGTGAGGCCCACCCCCCAATAAAGCAGGTTAAAATAATTAAATTGCATACATTTTCTTTTAGTAAACACTGAAAACGGGTCCCACAGACCCAAACAGCACACAAAGGTTAAAGGTAAGCATATAATAATGTTAAAATGTGATAAATATATACACTGCAAAAAACAAAAAAAAGAGGAGTAAAAGTAGCCCCGACTTGTTTTATTTTTTGAAAGTAGCCCTCATCCTAAAAAAGGTTGGTGACCCCTGATATAGAGTATACATACAGTTGCAAGAAAAAGTATGTGAACCCTTTGGAATTACCTGGATTTCTGCATAAGTTGGTCATAAAATGTGTTCTGATCTTCATCTAAGTCACAACAATAGACAAACACAGTCTGCTTAAACTAATACCACACAACCAATTATATGTTTTCATGTTTTTATTGAACACACCATGTAAACATTCACAGTGCAGGGTGGGAAAAGTATGTGAACCCCTAGGCTAAAGACTTCTTCAAGAGCTAATTGGAGTCAGGAGTCAGCCAACCTGGAGTCCAATCAATGAGACGAGATTGGAGGTGTTGGTTAAAGCTGCCCTGCACTATAAAAAATACACACCAGTTTTGAATGTGCTATTCTTAAGAAGCATTGCCAGATGTGAACCATGCCTCGCACAAAAGAGCTCTCAGAAGACCTACGATTAAGAATTGTTGACTTGCATAAAACTGGAAAGGGTTACAAAAGTATCTCTAAAAGCCTCGATGTTCATCAGTCCACGGTAAGACAAATTGTCTATAAATGGAGAAAGTTCAGCACTGTTGCTACTCTCCCTAGGAGTGGCCGTCCTGTAAAGATGACTGCAAGAGCACAGCGCAGAATGCTCAATGAGGTGAAGACGAATCCTAGAGTGTCAGCTAGAGACTTAAAGAAATCTCTGGCACATGCTAACATCTCTGTTGACGAATCTACGATACGTAAAACACTGAACAAGAATGGAGTTCATGGGAGGACACCACGGAGGAAGCCACTGCTGTCCAGAAAAAACATTGCTGCACGTTGGAAGTTTGCAAAAGAGCACCTGGATGTTCCACAGCACTACTGGCAACATATTCTGTGGACAGATGAAACCAAAGCTGAGTTGTTTGGAAGGAACACACAACGCTATGTGTGGAGAATCCAAAGGGTTCACATACTTTTTCTTGCAACTGTATGTGCCTAAAAGATGCAACCCATATCTTATGACACTGTTAGGCGCTGTTGGATCTTGTATTGTCTTGCCCGTGTCAGCACTCTCTTTTATCATGAAAATATCAATACAATTAGGGTTGTGAGGCAGAAAAATGCTGCAGAGATACAGTTTTGAAGTAGAAATCTTACTAAAAGTGAAAGTCGACAAGGTTAATCACATTTAGGTTCAAAGCATTAAAATCAGTCAGACACATGTATTTGCCCAACATGCTTTATTGTTCATTGTAATACCTCCAGTAGCTAATTTCTTACATGAGATGTTAGCAAGGAATAACCTCCACAAAATAGGGATGATACGATTGAATTTGCCAAAATGGAATAAAACAAATTACCAGAGCATAGAGGAAAGTTAATGCTGGCAGTATTGCAGACAAAAAAAAACAATATCTGCTTTAGTCTTGTTATTTGCAGAGAAGAAAACATGTAAAAAGGAGCAAAATATAAGGACTCAAAGGTGCATTTGCCTCATACACAAACATGGATGTGTAGTGAAATGCAATTTGGCATTCAAAAGAATGATTTGAAAAAAATATATTCTGCTTAAAAATTCTAAATGTATTCAGGAGCATTTTTCAATTCAAAATAAAGCGTCCAAAAGGCTTTTCTTGCGCCTGTGAGTAGGTGTTAAAGGTAAGGTTGTTTGGTTTGTCTTGGACGTCACATAAACCAAACAAACAAAACAGAGAAAATGAAAGTCAAAAAGGAAATCAGCTGCAGGCAATCTCTAAATGCTCTACCTTCAAGGTCTCTCCTCCAAACCTCCACACTCCAGCCCGTTCCCACAGCTTTCACAATCAATATGTGCAAAATAATTTCTCGATTAGTATGACCCTGAGAGGGGAAAAAACCCTAATAGTAATTATCGTCTTTGTGTTGAGTACGAGTGGGAGAGGAGGGTTAGCTAGCTTTTCAAAATGAGAGTGAATGAGTGGCAGTGACCCCAAGAAAAAGTCAGTATTGCAGTTTGACTTTTAATATGCTCCTAAGAAGTCGAAGCTAAAGGTACAAAGTAAAAGTGTTCTGTTACCGTTAGATATCACTTGGAGTCATGTAAGTGCTCTGATTCACTCTGCTCTCCTTCACACACAATTCAAAGCTGACCTCAGCTCTCTTGACTGTCTGGCCACAGTCAGTGGAAGAACACATTACCCACAGTCCTCGGCTCTGCCTCGGGTAGGTTGGCACCCTAGTATCAATGAAGTCCAACCTTGGGAACAAAGAAGCAGCCAGGTATTAATAGGACTTATTATCCCATCGAGTGACAATCCAAGTCTGCCTTTGAGTTTTAGAAACCGCGGAAGATAAAGACAAGTAAAAGAGGCTTCAATCTGGTTTGCAGATGACAAGAATAATTCAAGGTACAAGTAACTGTCGAGTTCCCCCCCGCACAGTGATTTTGAAGTGCACTCACCAGGGGAGGACGGATTGTTCTGGAGAAAGTGCCTTTTGTCTTTGTGCGTCATTGTTTAGTAGCGAGTTTCAGAACAAGGTGCATTTGGGAAGTGGGTTGGAAAGCCAGGCTGTGACGGTAGCTTCTTTCAGCTCACTGCACCTCTAAAGACTATCATGTGATTTTGTTTTGATATATTGTCTCAAAGGGTTGATGGAATACTTCACCACAAAAATTATCTTATGTATAACCAATTACATGATCCGTGTTACCTTGAATTTCTAACAAAAATGCTTGATTTTCAAACATGCATCCACGATGAACAAAGAATCCAAAAGCTGAGAAAATTCTTTGGGGTGCGATTAGCAAGAGCAAAACCATATCAAAAAAACATCCCAAACACATTTCTGACAAAATCATATTATTTAAAACACTGCAAAAAGTGTTTGCACTGACACATAAGATGTATATGAGGAAGTATTTTAAATAGTTCGATTTCAGTGAAAATGCATGTATTTGGGAAGCTGTGAGCATACAACTGGATAAATAACACTTGGATTTACTATGAGTAATGTCAGACTTTGTAATAAATATAATTCAATTCATCTAGACCTTTCACAATTTTGGGATTCATCATTCCCTGTGGATGCGTGTAGGAGAAAGGAAGTTGTCTTTGTCACAACGGTAATACAGGGTGGGAAATTGATAAACAAATGGTCATTTTTTTAAGGTGAATTATTAATAGCATAATCTGGTACCAGGTGAAGCCTCAGACTAACCCACAGTCTTCTCTCCAGCATGAGAACAGTTTACTTCAGTTTACCTCAGGTAGCACCGAGGTGTCCTGTGCTTGGTAACGGTATCAACAAATAGTGTTGTGTCTGGGTCTGAAAAGATGTCTTTGTGTGTAGGCCAAGATGTGGAGGCGGCAGACTTTATGATGCACCATCAACCACACAAGAAGCAGTGTGGCAGGGACAGAGTGTGAGAAACACATGGGCGGACTAATACAAGGAGCTCTTGAGAAACAGATGATAAAAGATAGATGAATTCACGGGACAGTGCTAATGCTCTAAAGGCGTCGTGTAGTTCCTGCAAATAAATGTGACGCTTTCAGTCTCTCAAAGGGGAACGGTGCCAAATTTTACCCATCTTTTGACATGTCTTCTATGGTAAAAACGTACTTATTATGTTAAAAGAAATCAATGTGTCAAGCCTTTTGGGACTCCAGAGGAAGCTTGACGGGAGTGGAGGAACCAGGTTTTCCAAAGGAAAAAGAATGCATGGAATAAAGATAGATTAACCTCAATTGGAAACATCACAAAGACAGCTAGGTGTGCTAAGAGATCCAACCAAACTTACACTAGGCTACAGATAATTTTCCGTAGAAAAAAATAACTTCTGTACAATTAAATTAAGGGTTCATGTCCAAAACATGATAAGGAAAAGGATGTCAATATGTTACAGTGAAGCAGCGAAAGCAGATATTATTGACAGCCAAATGGTCGGACGGTCCTCTCCTTTTCCCTCATAAGACATGGTCAAGAATATGCTAACAAATATGGTATTAAAGCACTATTTCCTTAGCATTTAGAAAATGTGATCAGCTCCACACCTCTGAGGAATTTCATATTGAGGTCAGACTTAATATGAATAGTAGAAGTTCAATGCTCGGTGGAGTGCTGTTTTACTCACCTCACGACCCCTACAGAGAACACAACATGTAATATAGCATATGTTCTGTAACAAATGAAAAAAGGGACTTAGTAGAGATTCATTTTTGATAAACATCAGAAATGTATTTAATTTGACGTTCCAGCAAGATCACTTGATTCCTTACCTTTTTGTATATGTTTCTTTTGCTTCTCATAGTGCCTCCTGTTTTTATTCACCTAAAATGTAAAACTCACTGCCTCTGGATATTAGAAAGGCAAGCTCTCTATGTGTTTTTGGAGTAACCTTACTATATATAGCCTTAGTTTATAACGCTTTAATCATTGGATCAAAACCATTTTTTATACCTCCTGTTTTAAAAAAATTAAAATCTGTTTTCATTTATTTGTAATTTGAAGACTTGCTAAATTGTATTTATTGATGGTTATTATTGTTGTTATGTAATGCACTTTGGCTGCTTGTTTTAGAAAAGTTGCTATATTAATACATACAGTTGAATTGAGTAATTATGATTTCATGTGTGTAATATTAAATCACAAATCCATCCAGAAAGCCTTTACTTCCTTCACCTGCTGCCTTCTCTTTCATCCCTCTGCTCACACATCTCGCACATCATATTTGTCCCCCTGCCGTTCTGGTACACCAACATTTCCTAATCCCCCCTTTTTATTTCCTCTTCTTTATCTCTTTCCTCCCTCTGCAGCAAACGGTGCGGCCCACCTTCTTTGCCAGGAAGTTTGAGGCCAGCGTGAACCAGGAGATAGTGAACCAATTGGACTCCTACCTGTACGGACCCTTCCCCCAGGGGACGCAGGGCCTGAACTCCTACTGGGAGAACCTTTACGACGAGCCTGATGGTGTGGCTAGTCTCTCGGATACGCAGCTCACGTACTTCCACTCTTTCTCGAGGCTGGGTCTGGCCCGAGCGGCCGCCTCTCTGCAGGGGAACCCAAATGATCACAGCTGCAGGTTAGTCTCGTAAACACACATATGCAAATACTCCCTCAGAACATCATGACGCACCTGCAACAACATCCACAGGTGCTCTTCAAAAGGTAGCCACACCCATGTTTGCATAAGAAACCACAACATATCAAAACCTTTTGTGTCACATGTCATTGAAAATAGGATAACAATGAATAACATTCAACATAATATGGTCATAGCATTAAAAGCTGTCCCTTTAGGCGTGTTTATTATTAGTGGATATGTATGAATTCCAGTGTGGTTGAAGTGAAAGGGGAGAACCCAACCCAGTCTCACGGCATTTCGTGTTCACCAACACGATTTTTAATCTATTGATTCGTGTTCACCAACACGATTTGCCCCTTTTTTTCGTGTTGCACAGCACGATTTTAAAAGCAATGTATTTCTACTGCCTGCAGCACGTCTTTTTCTCCGGTCGGGTCGAGGAAGAACGGAAGCTGTGTGGTTCATAAAAACATGTTCTTACTCAATATCAAGCCACAATTATTGCTTTTATTTTAAATCGTATAATTTCTGACTTTTGTTGCCGTCTGTGAGGAAAATAAATGGGGCTCAGAGCCCTTTAAATATTTTTTTCCTTCTAATTCGTTATTCTTCTCAAAATAACACACTGTTATTTACTCACCAATAACACACAATTATCCTTGCTTTTATTTATTGGTTTAATTCCATAATCTCGGGCTTTTTTGGCGTCCGTCAGGAACTGAATTTCAAAATAAAAATAACCGGAAACAGACGTAGGCCTATAAGGGACATTTCGAGCATCATTGCGATTGTCAACATTTCTGAGTTTAGGATGGCCGAAGACACTACACTACCCATAATACCCAGCTATCGTTTAGGACTACAGTCCCCGTAAGGTTACGCAGAGCGTCAAACAGCTGTGTGAAATGGAACGAAACCACGCCAGACAATCCAAAACTGGAATCGAACGCCCCCCCAGAACTACACATGCTGGCTATTGTGTTTCGCAAAATGTTCTGGACGTCTCTACTGAACGTTTTCGTTTTTCCCACAATTAGAAGTTGCCAGTATTAAACACATTGGTGTTATCAAATGTAAAACATATAATTAATAAATGGGTGAAAATCGCTTGTGTCCATAATGCGCAGCATTAATACCCTCATTGTTACTTTGTAATTCTACTCCACTACAATTCAGAGGTTAACCTGGTATTTTTACTCCACTGCATTTATTTGAGTTACTTTGCAGATTCTGATTAATTATGTGAAATATAAACAACCCTTAAATCAGACTTTAGTTACACCTGAGTAAAATTCAGGTAAGGTGATTGTCAAGTGCCAACAATCAGGAGAGATATTTGATAGTTGGTGCTTGAGAAGACTAAACATGTAGGCCTATCTGTAATTGACATGAATTGAAATGAGTAATAAAGTATATTCATTACTCGTTATTCTCTACTAATAGTTAATTAAAGACTGTATATTATGGCTATTTTGCACATCCCTTTCAAGATTTTCAAAGGTTTATTGACATATCATATACACAACTACGGTGTAGTTATGCAATGAATGAAACACTTGGGTCACAGGTTCCTCAACAGTGCATTACAAGACATCTATCAATATGTGTGTACCTCCACCATCAAACTGTCATATTCTGCAAATGTCTTATTCTATCTACATACATAAGAGTATAATTCATATGTATAATATCAGTTAAAATAAGTGCTTCAACATAGTTAACATTGCAGGAAAGCAATATATTAGACGTTAAGTACTTTGTCAGGCTTAATATTTATCTGTAGATAGATACCCCCAAAGTTTTTTTCTTATTTAAAAGAAGACCTTAATCTGTTATTTAATGTTTAAATAAAGGTTAATTCGTTTTTCTGTTTTGCACCTCCTCCTATTAATATCTTTGTACATTCTGCACTAAACTGTTTTATTGTAGAGATCACTTATAGTATCTTCTTGATTTTTTACATTCTATATTTATACTTTCCCCCTATGAAAGTATGTACTCTTAATATTTTTAAATCAAATAAAACACAATAATTCAATAACGTGCTTTAACCACTAGGAGGTGCACACAAGGTACACACAGCCATAATAACTTTGTATTAATTTATTATTGTAGGACACTTATGTTTTCGTACAACATCTGAAGATGTGTAGTGTTATGCATGCTTTCACATAATTTTACAGCATATTGCTATACTATTTCAGACTCAGTATTTACATTCTTACATTCAAAGAAAATCAGTAATATCTTTAAAAACTACAGTCCTTTTATATCAGCTGTGCACCGTTATGGTGTAAATATAACCTATCTGTGAATTAGATCAAATGTAAAAGTCAGCCGAATTAGTGTTGATACTGCAAGGAGACGTATTGTGTGAAGAGAAATTGAAGATGTTGTTTAATTGTTGAATATATTTATGATCCACGTCAAGTATTCAGTTTCGGCGGCATTTTCTCAGTTTTTCCAAAGGTCTTCTCATCAGGGCTCTATAAATAAAGAACTACGGCAGATCTGTAATATACAATGCAGCCGAACCGTGTATTACAATGCCGTTATGTGATGACTTTCAAAGAGAAAAGTAAGAGCGCTCGGAATTAAGTATTCTTTTATTCTTTTAAAATGTTTTCCGAATTTCATATCATATAAACACCAAATCCCAGCATGCATTGCGGCTAAAACATCCAATAAGCGAGCTTAAAACCATAGCTGAGGATCTTGGGTATTCGCTCGAAATGCCTACGTCTGTTTCCGGTTATTTTTATTTTGAAATTCAGTTCCTGACGGACGCCAAAAAAGCCAGAGATTATGGAATTAAACCAATAAATAAAAGCAAGGATAATTGTGTGTTATTGGTGAGTAAATAACAGTGTGTTATTTTGAAAAGAATAACAAATTTAGAAGGAAAAAAAGATTTAAAAAATACAGATTTCAGTATTCTGAGGCTCTGAGCCCCATTTATTTTCCTCACAGACTGCAACAAAAGTCTGAAATTATACGATTTCAAATAAAAGCAATAACTGTGGCTTGATATTGAGTAAGAACATGTTTTTATGAACCACACAGCTTCCGGTCTTCCAAGACCCGACCGGAGAAAAAGACGTGCTGCAGGCAGTATAAATACATTGCTTTTAAAATCGTGCTGTGCAACACGAAAAAAAGGGGCAAATCGTGTTGGTGAACACGAAATGCCGTGAGACTGGGTTGGAGAACCACACTATGCTTTCATATTGAATGGCCAAATGGAACATTCATGCTTCTTCAGTGAGGGTTTTTAACAGCATACAGTATGTTCTCAATCTCAGCAGCATCTGTCGTAGGAGCAAAAGCGTTTTATGTCGTTTTATTTGCAAAGCGATGAAACAAAGTGATTAAAAAATAGTGACAAACTACATATTCTGTTTCAGAACAGAGAGCAGAGGTGTAAACTGCTAATTTATGTGACAGAAAGCTGTGTGTCTCATAAAAAGGCACCTTGCCTTGAAACAAGAGCTAAAACAACAAAAATGACACCTACAGTTGCGGCAAACATTAAGAGGACATCTTTATGTTCATCTTAATGACATCTTTAAACGATAACATTACTTCTTTTCCTGCATCAGGCAGGAGAATGGGAGATATACGGAACACAGCATGAAGGCACAAAGTCGTTTTAACAATACATGGAGACGCACTGAGGTTGGGTCTGCTGTAAATTCTGTTTATTGTAATGAGGAAGGTTTCAAAACTCTACAGGTAAACTGACTGATGGCGTCTTGGAGTGCAGAATGACAATGTTAAAGAGTAAATCTACTGAAGGAGGAAACGCAGCAGCGATCGCCTCTTATAAACTGAAATGGTTCTCTCTTCGTAAGGAGAGAACCAATAGCCGCATTCACACCGCAGGACTTTCCCTGGTACTTTGGTTCTTTAGTTCCGTTAGTACCAATAATGTCGCGTTCACACCGCCAGGACTACTCAGTGCCGGGAACTCTTTTGGCCATTTTCAGTCCCTGCTAGAGAGATGGTACGAACCTGGTGATAAAAGAGTGTCAATTTCTATTGGCTGGGCGAATTGCAAACCACGCCCCGTTAGACTCTGAATTTTTTTTGTTAGGCAGCCATTTTTTTCCTCGCTACAAAACCACATCCACACCTGAGCGAGTAGTTTTTTTGTACTTTAAAGCAGTTATGATCACACGTACTACAACACCGGAGCAGTGGAATGATGAGGAAGTGTTGGCGCTTCTGGCAATTTACTCTGTCGGCAGCTTCTACAGAAAGCAGTTCCCAACTCCAAATGTTTTGAGCGATGTTCGCAAAAGCTACTTGAGCTGGGAATCGTGCACAGTGCACACGGATGCCGGGTAAAAATAAAGAAACTCAGGCAGGACTATAAAACAATTAAAGACCACAATAATAAGAGTGGTAACGATTTTCTATTGTTATTATATATATATATATATATATATATATATATATATTGCCACTGTTTTTTAATACTGACACATAACTTGCACTAAGGTGTGTCTGCTGCTATATATATTGCCACTGTTACATTGTTTTGAAACTACTTACACTTTATTTTACATTTCACACTTTTATTTAACTTCAATTTACATGCATACGACACACCTGGAACAGCGTGATGCCGTTATTGTTATGTCTTGACTGTGCAATAAAACAAACAAACTGGCGAAGCTTTATTTATTGTGTCCCACCCCAAATTTGCAGAATAGAAGAATGTGAGAGCAGACAGGTGTCGGTGGTTGAATTTATCTACAATGTTGCAACCTTGTGCAGCAATGGCAGGGGCAGAAACACAAGTCTTACACACATAAACACAAGTCATTTATCATGTCATTTGTTTTAGATAAATAAGGGAAAAACACCAAACAAGGGTTAATGTCCTTTTCCAAAATCAGCCTGAGGGGGGTAATATATAATAAATACATAAAGATAAAGTCCATTGTTATAATGGGGTATTTTATTTGTAAATTACCCTTATGAACTCCATCATGTCTGAGGTCGGAAAGTAAACAAACGCCTCATGCAGCGGGTGGGCTTTATACCCCCTCCCCCGTGTAGTTCTTCTTCTCTCGTTTTTTTTTGTACTCGCCGTGAAGTGGTTTTGCGGCCTGCCAGTAAACCCAGAGAAGAAGAAGACGAAGTGACGTCAGCGTAATCTTGCCTCAGGGAAAGTACTGCGGTGTGAATACGATTGGCACTAGCCCCCTGGCGGATTCAGTGCCGTGGTACTTTAGTGCCGGCACTAAAGTACGGCAAGTCCTGCGGTGTGAAAGCGGCTATTTAGAGCACCGCTGCATTGTGGGTGTTCTGTAAAGTCCTGCGGGGAAAGCCGAGCAGAGAAAGGAAGCATGTTTCCATCTGTCAAACCTCAAAACCATTTATCGGCTAAAGCTGTTTCTACTCATACATAAGAGAGAGCGAGAGCAATCCCAGGACAACTTGGTTACATACATGCACGTCTGTATGTGTGTGTCTTTGCATGTTTAACAGAGGGAGGGAAATCTCCGTATTGCCAGGAAATGGGCCTGTGAGAAAAACACATGCCCTCAAGGCAAACAAGCTAACTTCTAACATTTACACGTTAAAGCACTTTGAAAAAACTGAGAGGCCAAAAATCAAAAGGCAGGAAGTAGAGATAACTAATGTAAATGTCTGTGTATAATGTATAGGTTGTGTATGTGAGGAGCGTTTAGGAAAGCAACTCACGAGTGATGCTGTTTATGTAAATGTGTATGCATATGTATGAACTGCTTACACACAAACTCCGGTTTTCACTCTTAAGGAAATCAGTGATCTAGCCTTAAATGGAGTTGTTCTTAGGTGTAGATAAATGTCTCTGTCAACCCATGAGGGATCCAGTTAACAAATGCATGCAGATGTGTAACTCAGACATAAGGTGACACATCTGCATTTGTTACTGCTGTATTCAATGATATATATATATATACTATACTGCATAATTATCATATCAATTACACAACCAAACAAATAAATCTTGAATAATTTAAGTAAATGCAAGCCTCGTTTAACTGAAGCAAAACTATATTAAAGGACGAGAAGGAGCAGTTCTGCGCAAGCGAGAAACTGAGGCTGTGCACGTGTTTAAAACAATAATGTTTTTAGTGAAAATGCATGTATTTGGGAAAGAGTGAATGACACTGGATACACAAGACTTGGATTATACTGCAGTTTGTACCGGCTTGTGTTGATAGATTTGCTGTCGTAACTGCAACCCCCATTCACTTTATAACATCAATATCTTCTTAAATGTCAGATCCTTTGTTCACGGTTGTGTCATAGGAGATTAAAAATAACTTAACTTTTAGAATTAAACGGGGGAGAAAGTGATACAATTGTCCATTTTCGGGATAAAGATTTCCTTTTAGCCTTTTGCGTCTTAACTACTCGTGCAAGTCAGGATGAATTCTACGAGGTGTCTGAAAGCTCGCAAAGCAGTTTTACCGTTGTTTTTCACATAGCTGAGTCCACGTCTTTTCATTGCAATTTATTTGGGATGCAGCTAATTAAACACAGATGGGAAGGCCGGTTCCCAATAAAAAACAATGATTTAGGTGGTATGGCCCACCTTTCTGAAATATCTAAAAGCGCTTCAGGATTATATAATGGGTTTTTTCCCAATGTTAATCCGCAACCATCAGGATTCTTTTTAAAGACTAAAACAAATATTTTCAACCTGAAGTTTTACCTCTTCTCAATTTGAGTAATGCATTTATATTGTGACTCTGTTTTACAAAATAAGCAAGGACATCTGGATAAGGCAGTAGACTTTTAACTTGAGATACAGGTCAAAATAAGTCTTTAAGATTTTTGTAAATAATGTCAGACACAATAACGTATTTTTTAAATGCTATTTGACTTGAATGTAATGATAATACATGAGGCTAAAATGGGGTTAACCCAATATACCCATGTCATATCCAACATACATTTGACCTGTATGTCAAAAGTGAACACACAGTGTCAACACCACCAGTCCTGCACATGTGTGCTGTGTTCCTGAATTCATTAAAACATTGTATTAATAAATCACTTAAGGCCATGAATAAAACCCCATTAATCTGAATTATTTGAAAGCTAGATAAGTGTATGATACTAGATTAGGATGTTTATGAATATCATGAAATCGCAAATAGAAAATGTGAGCTACACTGATTCACAGATCAAGCTGGACAAAAAGGAGAAATACAATTTAAAAAAAAAATAGCCTCAGGATTTCCTTTTAATGGAACCAAACTCTGGTTTATTGGCATTATAAGAATTAAACGCACCATGTATGTGTGGAATGACCAAACAAGTCACCTGTGGCCTTACTTGTGTTTTATTGATCTGGAATGTTTACTTCTCAAGTAAGATTATTAAAACCAGTCAAGGTTTTAACTGCAGATAATTCCTCCCTCTCAACATATGTCTCATTGGAATCCTGGTTTCAAGTAAGGCCTCAATCGGTAGGCCTTGAATATTTTACATGCATGTAGAATTTAGATGTGCAACCAACAGACGGCTGGGTCAGCTTCACTATAAAAGGAAAAGGCCAGAGTGAGGGATTTGGCCCTTTTAGCAACCCGCTGTGACTCCAATGGAGAGATGTGGAGTGAAAGCCTGAATGGAGCTTCTGTGCACGCTACGCCCAGACCCCTCCTCACCGCCTCTCTCACTGGCAGCCACATCTCTTTTGGGAAAGATGGGGCAGGGGGAACGAGAGCCGAGGACAAAAGGCAGGATGAAAGAGGGGGAAGAGTGGAGAGGAGCAGAAGAGAGAAAGGCAGATGGAAAAATATAAAAGAAGAGGAAAAAGGGGGGAAAGACAGAGGGTAAGGGAGCAGGAGGGGGAGTGCTCTGCTATCCCTGTGGGTGTAAATATTTGCTGTTCTGCTTGTCAGGGTAGCATTTACCGGGACGGGTTGACTCCTGGTCCTTTAGTAGAATACTGATGAGGCCATGGGTGTTGGGGAGCAGGGAGGGGCGGTGTGTGTGTGTGTGTGTGTGTGTGTGTGTGTGTGTGTGTGTGTGTGTGTGTGGTGTGTGTGTGTGTGTGTGTGTGTGTGTGTGTGTGTGTGTGTGTGTGTGTGTGTGTGTGTGTGTGTGTGTGTGTGTGTGTGTGTGTGTGTGTGTGTGTGTGAATAAAGACAAGTTCAAGGAAGCAGAAGAGACGAAGGATGAGCGAAAGGAGTCAGGACGTGTGCAAAGAGCAGCTGCCGACTGTTCCCCATCCGTGCCCACCCTGGCCTCTTTTTTTCTGTGTTTTCCAGAAGTCACTCTTCTAGCTGCCCTGAGGGCCGGCTCTCTGCCACATACGGAGAAACACACAAACAAACAACTGACTAATCACAGGGGCGAGACCTTCATACGGCTTCAGCTGACTGAATTGACCCAGTTCAACTTTTGTTTCCGCAGACTCGTAATGCGTTTAGTTTGATTGTCTGTCTGTGTGTGTGTTCGGAACTCTGACTAATCTGAATTTGCTGCCAATAAGACACATGGCAGATCTGTAATTTTATGTAGCTAGCAGAACGCTGCGGTCTCATCAGTCACATGTCTTCTGTAACCATCATTTCCACTTTAAAAGCAGAGCACATGTTGGAGCACACACCGCACAGTAAAGCAATAATTATCATGGAAGAAGGTTGTCATTTACTTACTTAGAGGTACTTTAGCTTCAATACATTTTCACTAGTCCATTACTTACATTTCATTTACTGCAATAGCCCTGTGCAAGCATTACAATTGTTTTTGAAAAAGCCCTGGTTATCTAAGTGTTGGCAATGCTTAATGGGGATTATCAGCACAGTGGACACATGTCTTTGACCAATTGGTTTTCTTTTAAAGGTCATTGAATTAATGTCACACAATCACAGACCACATTGACTCCCCCACTAATCTTCAATGCGAGCATGCATTAGCATGTCCAAGGCTGGTTCCTTCCAGACAGTATCCACATGAATCTTGATATTCTGTCCCTTACACCGTTGGCTCTGGAAAGCGGCACAGCCGGTAGGTCAGCAGGTATCCGGTTTACTAATGGGAGCTCTCTATCTCGGTGTTCTGCCAGGTACTTCCCCATGGGTCATCCGGTGTCAGTGCATCTCTACTTCCAGGCAGACCAGTTCCAGGGCTACCTGGTGAAGCACCACGCCACCAACCTGGCAACAAGCAAACTGGAGACCATGGAGACCTGGGTGGCACCCAAGAAGAACTTTAGGCTAACCACGCCTGCCAGCAGCACATTCAGCAGGTTGCAGCTTGCAGAGGTGAGTCTTTATATTCTCCAGTGTGGCATAGCATTTGTTTTTCATTTACATTGAAGTCATTTGTTTGGCCTGAGTCACAAAGCAATCAGTCGGCAATCACCACTGTCTGGAAACGAGTTCCATAAAACAGTAAGCACCACATAGGAAAAACACATCTCTGCAGCGTGTAATTAGAGGTGAGACGTACAGCTCATTGCCAGGGTGGCCTTATATTCATTGCTATGGCGACCTTGCAGAGGCTCACACTGTAGCAACGCATCCCCACACAATTAAACTGTTGCCTGTAATGGCCTTGTAAAATGTAAATTGATTGAATTCAACCAAGTTTATAGGGATGACGCTCCATGTGCTGCTTATTTGTTGTTTCCTAATAGAACGTCTTCTCACCTTCACACTGCAATGCTTCCCTTGATTGTCTTGTTATGTTAATCTGTGCTCCTGTTTACTACAATGCCTGCTTGGGATACAGCAGCTCTGCTGTGATGAGACGGCCACAGAGTGCCTTTTTAAAAAGGGACCAAATTAACTGAGTGAATATAAATTGACCTTCTTCTCCAGTTAATCAGAAGCAGCTTTATAGGTAGATTCACTCTGCTCAACTAGATACTGAAGACAATCTCCCTGGTTTTATTGCTGAAACTGGATGGAAAAATGTATAGAGTTCATCAGAACCATTAGAACAAAATAGTCTTTAGGGCGACCGTTCATGTCGGGGCATTGACAGGAAGAAGTTGTGTGATTTAAAACACTAATATACCAGAAACTAATATCATCTTGAAGCAAAGAACATAAATGTTCAATGTTTAAGAATGCTTTTTCCTTGATACAAAGCAAGGCAAGGCAAGTTTATTTATATAGCACTTTCCAACACAAGGCAATTCAAAAATGAAAGAGATTAAGAAAATGGCATTTAAAATCAGTCATTAAAAAGAAAAGCTAATAAAATAAACATTAAAAGAAAAAATACATGGATAAAAGTTACAGTGCAATTAAACATTAAAAGAAAAAGTACATGGATAAAAGTTACAGTGCAGTCTAAGATATGAATAGTTAAAAGCAGCGACAAAAAGAAAAGTCTTCAGCCTGGATTTAAAAGTAGTAAGAGTTGCAGCGGACCTGCAGGTTTCTGGGAGTTTGTTCCAGATATTTGGAGCATAATAACTGAACGCTGCTTTATCATGTTTAGTTCTGACTCTGGGGACAGAAAGCTGACCAGTCCCTGAAGACCTGAGAGATCTGGATGGTTCATAATTTAGCAGGAGGTCAGAAATGTATTTTGGGCCTAAACCATTCAGTGCTTTATAAACCAGCAGCAGTATTTTGAAATCTATTCTTTGACACACAGGAAGCCAGTGTAAAGACTTCAGAACTGGAGTGATGTGATCCACTTTCTTAGTGTTAGTGAGGACTCGAGCAGCAGCGTTCTGAATTAGCTGCAGCTTCCTAATAGATTTTTTAGTGAGACCTGTGAAGACACCATTGCAGTAGTCGAGTCTACTGAAGATAAAAGCATGGACAAGTTTTTCCAAATCCTGCTGTGACATTAGTCTTTTAATCCTAGATATATTCTTTAGGTGATAGTAGGCTGATTTAGTAACAGTTTTAATGTGACTGTTGAAACTCAGGTCAGAGTCCATGACTACACCTAGATTTCTGGCTTTATCTGTTGTTTTGAACATTGCACACTGAAGCTCAGCGCTAACTTTTATACGTTCTGCCTTGGCTCCAAAAACCATTACCTCAGTTTTATCTTTGTTTAATTGGAGAAAGTTCTGACACATCCAGTCATTGATTTGTTCAATGCACTTACTCAGTGTTTGAATTGGAGCATAGTCTCCTGGTGAAATTGTTACGTAAATTTGTGTGTCATCTGCATAGCTATGGTAACTTATTTTGTTGTTCTTCATTATCTGAGCCAGTGGTAGCATGTAGATGTTAAAGAGAAGAGGCCCCAAGATGGAGCCTTGAGGAACCCCACATGTCATATTTGTCAACTCAGATGTGTATTTACCTAAAGAAACAAAGTTGTTTCTGTCCTTTAAGTAGGATTCAAACCAATTCAGAACTGTTTCCGAAAGTCCCACCCAGTTTTCCAGTCGGTCTAGTAATATGCTGTGGTCAACAGTGTCAAACGCAGCACTGACATCTAATAATACTAACACTGAAGTTCTGCCACTGTCTGTGTTTAAGTGGATGTCATTAAAGACCTTTACAAGAGCAGTCTCAGTGCTGTGGTTTGGACGAAAGCCTGACTGGAACACATCAAAACAGTTATTTAAATGCAAGAAATTACTCAACTGTTGAAAAACAACTTTTTCAATGATTTTACCTAGAAATGGGAGGTTTGATATGGGCCTGTAATTGTTCATTACTGAAGCATCTAGATTATTCTTTTTTAAGAGCGGTTTAATGACTGCAGTTTTCAGGGCCTGTGGAAAAATACGTGAGTGAAGAGATTTGTTTACTATATGAAGTAGATCTGAGGCCATGCAAGGCAAAACATCTTTGAAAAATCCTGTTGGAATAATATCAAGGCAGCAAGAGGAGGATTTCAGAAGTTGAATAATGTCCTCTAGGTTTTTATCATTAATCTGATGGAATTGTGTCATGATGTCTGAATTGATGTTAAGTGGAGATAGGGACAACACATTTGCTGTTCCTGATGCAGAGGCACTGACTGCTTGTCTGATTTTCTGAATTTTGTCAGTGAAAAAGGAGGCAAAATCATTGCACGCCCTGGTGGATAGAAATTCAGAGGCTACTGACACTGGGGGGTTAGTTAGTCTGTCGACGGTAGCAAACAAGGCACGTGCGTTGTTTTTGTTTTTGGTAATGATGTCAGAGAAGAACGATTGTCGTGCGTTTTTCAATTCCAAATTATAAAGGCCAAGTCTCTCTTTATAGATTTCAAAGTGAACCTGGAGATTTGTTTTTCGCCACCTGCGTTCAGCTTTTCGACATTCTCTTTTTTCTGTTTTCACGGTCATGGCCTTTCTCCATGGAGATATTTTCTTGCCAGACACTTCCTTTACCTTAGTTGGAGCAATGGCATCTATAACATTTTTAATTTTTGAATTAAAATGATCTACTAGCTCATTTACTGAGATGTTGGCAGGGGCAAGTGTGGAAGAGAAATTCTGAGTAAACATTTCCCTAGTATTTTCAGTTAAATATCGCTTTGTGGTTACCTCTTTTTGAACATTTTGTGAAAGCAAGTGGCTATAGCTCTTTGTATCACTACAGGTAAAGAGTAGACTTCCTTGACCATGCAGACCAATAACAACACTCTTTAAAAAATACACCTAGTATCCTGACTTTACCAGTGAGGAGAAACTCAAAGTGGGCAGTGACGACCGTCCTATTGTTGGCCCCCAGTAACTCCAATCTATTTAAAGAATGGTTACTGTTGGTTGAGTTGTGGGGGGCAGGGTTCACATCTACGGCTAGTAAACTAAGGCAGCACCCAACTGTCACTCAAAGAGCCCACGGCCAGAATCACTCATACATTTAAAGCTTAAATTGATTACTTGTGTAAAGATTCAGCCCACTCAAAGTTAAATGGGGAAATTAGCTACAGGGACCAACACCATTTGTTGTACCAGGCTGTAAACATGTTTATTTTTGCATGGAGGTCTTTGGGGATTGAATGCCATTTGGACCTGGCCCCAAGTGGACATTTAATGACCTGCAGTTTTTGGCTCTTGCACATAGGCTTCACTGCTCAGCCCCAGAGCTTGGCGCATCCAAGCATGTAGTAAACGGTTGTTATTTGTCTTACTGAATCCAGGTGATGTAAGGGGCATAGGTTTTTCATAGGGTTTTCGTGCCAACTTTTAAGAAACTTTTAGAAATCTTTAGACCTATTTTTTGGCAGAAATGTTTGACTGTTTGGTGTTGCAAGTGAACCGCACTCCAACACCAGACACACTTACACCCGATTTTACCTCTTCCAGCACTTTCAAATTGACCTCATGAAGGTCCCTCTCACGAAGCCCTGTATGTGTCTAGACTATACAAATCATGAGTGACAGTGAAGTGATGTTGGCTGTGGCTTTTATCTGGTTGCTCAGCCTGAGAAAAGCTTTCACTGTCTGCCACTGTGCGGTGGCTGTCAGTCAGTCAGTTTGTCCATGTGTCATTCAAAAACACGAGCAGAAAGAGCTTCAACAGGAGAGTACGGCGTAGCAGCAGTAACTCGCTTTTTTATTTACTAAGCAGAAACAAGCTATTATACTAACACTATGTGCTGGAGTTTGCGAGATAGACCATATGGTTGGCTTAACAATGCGATGCCTGTCCTCCTTTAGATAGAAAGGAAGACAGATATGGCTTTCCTTTCACTCCTCTGCTGCCGCCTCCCAGCTGCCTTTATATGCCTTTTTACAGCATGATTTACTGTTGGACCACTTACAGCCCCCACAGTTAAAATTAGTATTTCACCTCAGTGTCAGCCCTGACATTGAGAGGTATATTATTCTTACTTTGACAAATATTTTACAGTGACTGACTTTGACTGATGGTTTAGAGCTGTTATACCAGAAGGCTTATTCTAGTGGATGTCATCAGAGTAGTTGACTCTTTGACGATTTGAGCAAAACAAATATACAATATATAATTAAACAAAATACAAACACCTACAGCCTCAAAAATTATGAATTTGTAGGATTAAGCTTCAAACATGTTATATTATGTGCTTCAAAGATGTCTTTCATTTAAGAGTGGTCATTAAAGAGGATGTGTGATTTTTTTTGTATCACTGATGTTACTATTGCTGAGTGTGGTATATCATTTGCACTCCTGGGCAAAGCTTTATTTTAGAATGGTATTTTGACATATATTTTCCCCCTTACAATAAATATTGCACATTCTGCGATTTGGGTCTTGCGCTAGTCCATTTTGCAATCCTATGCAAACAAATTCTATTTGTTCTGAATTATCGGAGATCACGTTTTATTTCAACATGATATATTTCAAGCTGAGCCTTTGTCCTCCATTTTCTT